GAGAAGAGGACGCTTTGGCACTATACAGACGTTCACTGTTCCACGGACCACCCGCTATCTCATCAAAGCCTGGGGTGCACGGGGAGGAGCACATTCATACGATTATGGATACCTCCCAGGAACATATTATGGTGGAAAAGGAGCGTTTATAGAAGGCAAGTTCAGACTGAATAATGGAACGGTCTTAAATATTGTGGTGGGACAAAGAGGAGGGGATTCGGTTGAAGTAAGAGGAGGAAAAAGCACAAAAAAAACAGCAGTTCATCTAGGAGTGTCCGTGGAAGACAATGCTGGCACTGGAGGAGGGGGAGGAAGTTTTGTTTATACTACAGCTGATGTTTTGTTGCTGGCTGTCGGAGGAGGAGGGGGCGCTTCAAGTGGATATAATGGTGTGGATGGTCAGGCGGAATCAAACGGCACCAGAAGTGTGGGGCAGGTCTTGTCACGAGTCCGAAATGGAGGCACAGGTGGGCAGCCAGGTGAGTGTAACAGTGGGGGCGCTAACTACCATGGAGGAGTGGGTGCGGGTTGGTTTGGTGAAGGCTGTTCCCGCCAAGGTTCTTCCCACGGGGAAAGAGGTGGATCACGTACACAAGGCTGGATCGGAGGTTTAGCTGGGGATATGAACAGTGGAAACAATGGGGGCCCTGCACCAGGAGCAGTTGGTGGGTTTGGTGGTGGGGGAGGTGGATCAGAGGATAATGGTGCATCAGGCGGAGGTGGTGGGTACTCTGGAGGAGGTAGTGGTACCCATCAGAAACAAGCCGGAGGTGGAGGAGGCTCATACTGTAATGGCGAAGATTGTTCCGGTTTGACTGGTGGGAACTCGAATGATAATGGCCTTGTACAAATTATAGAATTGTAGGGCTGATTCCAAAACATTTCTTGCGAATTACAGTTGTTTTTCAAAAATGGATTTTCTTTATTACTAGAAAAATTAGTTGTGGCGGTAATTGCAGAAGTTTTATATACATTCAAATCCCTTGTTACTTTTTCAACAAGAGATAATAGAAATCCTCTTCCTTTGGCTATGTATTAAAAATGTCACCTTCTAGGATCATAATATTTAACACGCTTGAGCTTAACATCCTGAGATTTGAGAAGACTTTTTAAAAGTTCATTTGTAAGAGTGTGGTCAAAAACCATTATAAAGTTAATGATTTGAAGGGAACTGTCCGGTGAGTTCAATCTATTAATTATCCAATCATAGAAAATCTTTTAAATAGTAAACTCTTCAGAACTGGTCCCTAGTAAAACAAAAAGAACGCACAATTTGTTTTATAGCATGATAAATAAATTAGAGGAGGCGTTGTAGAAACAAATCGAACATTTTGATAATTTCCTTTAAAGTGCATAAGAGAGCAAAATAACACAAAACTAAAATGTCCTGCCGGTGTAACGTTATCCTCAGTCAAACCATGGTTACGTGTAACAGTGGCTGTCGATAAACACGAGGGGAAACATTCCATTGCTACCTTCTGGTGTCATAGATTTTGTAATGTTGTCCACTCAGATCAGAAACTCTACACAGGCGATAGTTTTACTGTTGGATGTCATGTGACCCCAAAACCAATGATAGCGCCCGCTGTTGAGAAAACAATTCCAGTTGTCCAACAATATTAGTTTTTGGTAAATAAGATTATAAGGTTACCAGATGTTCCTACCTTTTTTTTTTTTCTTTTAAACAGTATCTCTAGTTGAAAGAAAAAAGAATACAAAAGGGACAAAAAGTGAGAACAGCTTACTTGGCGCCACTAATCAGTGTTTTGGCAGTTTATCAAGTTAACTGAGAAGCTCATTTCTAGAATTTTCATAGCTCCTTTTGGAACAACCTAAGAGGAAGTAGAGTGACGACTATTCTCGTTATGTTAAGACGTTTGTCATGAGCACAGATTTATCAAATAACTTTGGTTACGCAAGTCAGCTTTAAGATATTTCGTGGTAAAAAAATACAGGGTAAGACATCGCTAATAAGAGGTTTTGTAGTTTATCGATGATATGAATAGCCCATTTATTAGAATTTTCATAACTCGTTTGTGAGCATTACAATCATTAAGACTTAAAGTGACGTTCGTAGATATTATTGATTTTTCGCTCAAAAAAATAAAACAATTAATAATAATAATAAAAGGTCTAAGAATATCACTAAATTAGATATTTGGTGGATTTTTTTAGCCTAATTTGTAGATTGTTTAACTCATTTTGAGATCTTATAGCTCATTGTAGTACGCGGTATTGAAATTATGTCATAACCTTGTTCAAATACGATCATCAAACAAAGCTTTTACAGTAAGAATAACTTGAAATTTTTTGTTTTTAATGTACTTGTGAGCCTGGAGCTAATCCAAATTGATGAAACGCAAGTTTATTTAAACGAAATACAGCGAACGAAGTCGATATTTTTTCCTTTGCTATTTTATCAATAGTGGATATGAGATGAGCAAGTTAATGAAAAAGGGTAATTTAGTATTATCAACTGAGTCGAGAACGTAAATTGGCCACCGTAAAGAGTTTAAAAGCTGGCGTTTCGAGCGTCAGCCCTTCGTGACAGCGATTGGAAATTAAAACCAATTGTTGACGTACATTGTAGCCAATAACTGTTTAGCAATTACAATAGCTCGTTAGCTTGGTTGAAACTAAACTGAACAGCTGAACGACTAGATTAAGCGTCTTTAGTTAACCATTTTACGCGACAAACATTGCGATAATTATTGCGATATACAAATCGATATGGAGTGCGCGCAACGTTAAACACAAACAGCGCACGCTTTTAAACTTAACAAATGATTAAATGAAACGAACGTTCAACGAAACAGTTATAGCAGAGAAGAAGCGTTAAATAAGTTAAGGTAGAAGAACTAGTGCTGAACCTCTTTCCGAAAAAAAAGGAGAAAAGAAAAAAAAGCGCTCTGTAAATATTGTATTTAACGTGGTCCGTATTGCATTCTGTAATAAATTAAACGAACTCCTCATGTAAATCAAATCATTTTCATTTTCCTCCTTCGTTTCAGGTGGGAACGTTACCAGTGCGACCTCATTAGGAGTCTAATTAAAAAAAAGAAAGAGATCGGTTTGCTGTGGAAGGTTTGACATAAATTTTTCATTCGAGATAAGCTCATTAAAGCCACGAAAACTGTGGAGATACGGGAAGGAAATGGATGAAGCTTCAGAGCTTAGAGTTTCACACCGTGACACTAGAAGACTTACCTTTCTGATAAATAATCACAAGTATCTTGCAATAGCTATAACGTTCAGTTGGTATACCTGACTCCAGCGTTTCAAATCCACCCATGGAATTGCGTCTTTATCAATTGAAGTACCTTTAGGTGAAAACGGCGTGTACTTGTTGCTGTGTTATAAAGGACAGAAACCGACAGAAAAATGATAAAATAGAAAAACAAATCAATTATGAAAGCGTAGGCATTTATTGCGTTGCGTAGATGCAAAAAATAAGTAATGTAAAAATCTTCATAAAATCTTGGGACCATCTTTCTAATTTTCTCCTCAAACATGCTAGAACTAAGTACTTTCCTTCAGTTCAGTGAGTAGAATCATTGTTTGAGTGAAGAATACTGAATTATAAATGTCAGTATCAAAACTTCCTCATGATTATTGACTTAAAAATTTGAAATTTATCTTTAAATTTTACCAGGATTCCGTACATCAAGTATGCGGAGAAACGACCCCTACATTTTTTTCCGTACAACAAAGAGACATTGAAGTTATATTGTCTGAAGAAATCTAAGTCATCAGTCTGTTTTGGATCTGCTGGTGGAAAAAAAAATCCTCTTTAAATACTTGTCTTTTGTAATGCCGGCCTTTGTCTGTGTGTACAGAACCTTGACACCTGTTCAATCACTTGTTTATAAATATCAATGACACCGGGGTTATAACCGTAATCTACTCAAAGGTAATAGTAAACTAGCTAGTAAAATGTAATATAAACAAATAATTTCGGCTAACTTGATCCCCTAAATTAATTCCAAATACCCCTAAACAGTTTCCAAGAGGCGTTATCATCTACCTTGGACAGGAATCAAGGTATGTACTAGATATGTAAAGTACCAGGTCAAATGTTTTGAAAAGGTTAATTTGAATACAGAGCAGCTAAAGGTTCAATCGCTACAGTAGTAACGATAGAATTTTTTCTTCCTCTGTTTGAGCGTTGAATCCTCTGACCAATACACATTTTGCAGGACTATTTTAAAGAATTTGCGAGTTTCCCCCCTTTCATTAAGGGGGGCATAAATAAAACTTAGCGGGTTTTCAATCAAATAAAGCTGAATCTCAAGGTTCATTTTCCATCCTTATCTTTGTTGGTTTTGATGTTTCGTGCATTTTTTCCCTCATTCCACAAACAGTTTTTAGCCAAGATCCAAAAAATACCCATATTCTTAGCATTATAGCATAATGGTTAAGAATACATGAAAGTCATATATTTGAACTGCGGATAAAGACGTGTATGAAAGTGATCCTCGCAGTAATGTGCACTACTTAGGCAGTAGTGAAAATAAGGCCTGAAAAAAATTTCAGGCCTGTACGGGATTTGAACCCATGACCTCTGCGATACCGGTGCAGCGCTCTACCAACTGAGCTAACAAGACAACTGGGAGCTGGTTATGATGTTGGTTCCAAATAAACCCGTGATGAAGAAGCTGGTCAATCTGTAAAGGTTAAAAAAAAAAAAACAAAAGCAAAAAACCGCTTTGGACATATTGTGTTGAACGTGGTCAGTATAGTGTTCGATAACGAAACTTTATGTAAACTATATGACGGCCGAATTCGACGAACCTCCCATTTAAATCAAACTCTTTTCATTTTTTTCCATCGTCCGGACGGGTTTACGAGGTTACAGATAGAAAATGATGTGCCACGATTCACCGGAGCAATTTTTCGGCATAAGGTCACTACGGCACCTCCATGGGAAATAAGGCGCGCCATGAGGTGGCTTTATTAAGGCAGAGAAAACTGTAACTTTCAATATTTTTAGGCAGGAGTAAATCAGCGCTTGCCGCGAAGATTCGGAGCCAATTTCTTATAGAGACTTTGAAAAAATATTCTTCTGACAATTGATTGCAAAAAAAGTTCAGCTGCCGTACCAAACTTCAACGTTTGAAAGATGCCCTTTGAACATTCGTCTGTATTAATTGCAGTAGCTTTAGATGGAATGGGCCGGCACTTGTGATTGAGTTGCAATGGAGAAACGCTGATTAAAGGCGTCACGTTAGTTGAAAGTTTTCAAAAGACTTAAAACTGACAAAAAAAGGAGAATATACTACAAAAAAACCCGTGAAAATGCGGGCATTCAAAGTGGGTTTCAGTTACAAAAGGTAAGAGCTTTCTGTAGATATACTTATTGCTATTTTTCCAGGGCGGAGGAAATTTTAAAAACTGCTCAAAATGTCAGGAAAATGCAGTTCACGTTTTAGTCGAACATTATAAAATAAAGTAATTTCCTAAGTCATTAATTTGCAGCATTATTTGGGTGAACAGTACTCAATTGTAAATCTCATTGTGAAAGCCTCTTATAATGTCTAATCTGCTGTGTGTTATAAGATATTCTAGTTGATTGGACTCGACCTGAATACCGTAGCTTTTCCTTCAAAGTCAATGGGATTCTGTACCTCAATAATATTGGCAACAGGCCCTTACAATTTTATATTCTCATTTTAATCGACAGAGAACGAAGTTATATCGTCTAAATAATTCTGCCTCAACGATGTGTTTAGGATCTGCTGATTAACACGTCTTCCTTGAAAAATACTCTTAATTTGTTATGCTGAACGCTGTTTGTATGTTCAAATCCTTGACACCTTTAAAACTGTAAAACATAAAGTCTGACAATTCAAACTACTGTTTGCATAA